TTGAGGCAGAATGACTTTGTTTTGTCCAGCCAGCTTTATCATACAGAAAGATTTGATGGTTGACATGCTTTAGATAGGTTCCGTCACAAGCTGTCTATCGACGCCTGTCTGGTCAAAGCTCTAGATGGCATTACCCCCTACATATATATAGTACACGACAAGCTTACTAAGTGATACTCTGTCAGGAATGTGACACAACCTGCGGTGCCACACAATGTTTCATCAATAGAAGTCATGATACCTCGCACAAAAATTATCTGGATGTCCAGACTTTGCTTGCCAGCCAGTGATACTGTTGTGACTGTCACCCTGTCACAGGCATCTTTGGATGGATTGCAGACTTCTCATGCCCTCTGCCATACCATTATCAATCAACTCACACCTGGACAGATTGTAAGTACTTGGGTGTTGGATTTCCTGTCTGGTATCAAGTTGAAATGCAGATTGCTTAACGCCAGATCTACATAATGGCCCACCTTAAGATTCTGGTAGTACCGGACCCGGGGCGGAAGAAAACCCAGTTGCAACTGCAACAAAAAACATATACCGATTGGGTGTTAACCTCTCTGCCTAACCAGGAGGCCGAATATCTGTTGAAGCATGTGGACCTTGATGGCTTGATCTTTGCGGCTACACCCCAGCAGTCACATGGCAAAGAGGTTCCTGCAGGACACCAGATGGTGTATATCAATGAAGTGGTAAGTAAACAACAATGGTACTCATGATGTGTGTCATGATCCTGACTCCAATTATCATGTGTAGCTATTGATGTGGCACACAATTGATATGTCGCCTAAAAACTCCATGCAGGCATGCTACATGGATTTTCAAACATTCACTGAAATCATTCACATGCGCCTGGATAAGCTTCAGATTGCCATGCAAAGTTTTGCTGCTGTATGGGGAGGTCTGGATTTGACCAAAAATTACAGGTGAATCCTTCACTTAGATGGAGTTGGATGGGCTGATCCAAGATCTTGGTGAAAGACAGGGAGGCCCCAGTTTTGTTCCGCCCTTCCAGTTCTTCAATGGATCAAACAAATTCAACTTTACATTGCACATTTGAGAAATACATATGGGCATTGCGCAGGTTGGAAGGTGTGCTTCCATTGTGGCCAGGCACCTTGGAGTGCCGTGTTGCATCCCATGATCACAATGCTATTATGCTATTGGATTCCATCGCCCAGGACATCACCAAATCTTATCGTCCCTCAACACAATTAATCATTCCAGGAACAAGGCCCAATCCCAGTGATCCCAAACACATGGTTGTTAAACGCGAAGCCAGCGCCTCAAGACAATCCATCAAATACCCTTGGAATCAAAAGATGTTTGATGAGGCAGAGAAACTTGGAGAATATCGATTATTCATGCAACCGTATGTCCCGGAGTGGGACAAGGTAGGCCAGTGGCGTTGTCTCATGGTTAATCAGGTCATTTTCTGTATCTTCAATCACCCTGGATCTTCCACGCTGGCCAATCGCAATGCCCCTGTCTTGGCCCACAATCTACGGGAGGATGGATGGAGTTTAGAGGAATTGTGCCTGTAGGAGTTTGCGCTCCCATCTTTATTTGTCGCATTGACTCCATTGTTCAGGCTCAGAAAAAACAATCCGTATCAATGCAATTACATGATTCGTGAGGGCGGAACACGAGCAGAAATTTCCAAGGCTCAGATAGAAATGCAGGAGTTTTTGGTGACCACGCTTGCGGCGTTCATCCAAGGAGAAGAACAGATGTTGGGTCATCAGGGCCTTGAGAACAGATTGCGGCAATCATCCTTGAGGGTTTCGGCACGGGTGGATCTCTCGGTCATCACTGATCCTGAAAGCCAGAAACTCCATTATTTCGTAAGCGGTATCGCGCGAGGCCCAGGCATGATGTTGTATGGCTCAGTCGATCCCCACACCATCCGGAGATATGCACTAGAGTTTGCACATCCTTTTGAACACTGGATTGGTCTACGTGATTCGCGGCCGTCATCAAGATGAGTGTAGATAGAATCCACTGTCTAGTTTATTTCTATTTGACCTCTACACGCCTCTCTAGAATACATCATAATGCCCTGAGTTCCATGTCCATGTATTTAAGGACCATTAGCATTGATATTTTGGACCCTTTGGTTGAACATCCTGCATAATCCTTCCAATGACTTCAGCACTTTGACTGCATGGATCTTCAATCGGTAATTTGCGTGCCTCACTTGCATTACCTCCATTGCAGAAAAAGGCAGATTATGTTTGGGACACATCTGGCATGAATCTAGACATTCGCACCACATTCATCGCACATAACACTCACATCACAGCAGCGCCAGGATTTCATACCAACCTCTCATTATCACTACATCCCAGATTGCTTACCTGTGCCGATGGTTGTTTTCAGGAGCATGATTTGTCACAAAGAGTGGCACCTAAAACTTGTGGCATCACGCACATATAAAGAAGGATGTTCAGCAGGCTCTGTGGTCAATTTCTGATGAGATCATCCATTGAGGACCCAAGATCAATTCAATCTTATCGTTTGCAAGATTACACACCTTGAGAAGATGTTGATCTAATTTATGGACAAACAAGGACATCCGTCAAACGGGCTTTGCCTGTGAAAACTGGATTAGGGTATCTTCAGTGATGATCAGCAAGTCGTGAAGTATATCTGCCTTGATTCCACACGCAATGCAAGTTAGATGCAGTCTGTAGTCGACGAGGCAAGGAGCTCTCAGCTGTTCAAGCTGGTCACAGTAAAATTTCAATGCCAGATCTGCAGATATGGTTTGTCGTAGCCAAGAGACTTGTATGGGAATAAGTATGATCTTCAGACAGAGATGAAAGGGTGCATGGTGATCTCCTGCAGGGGCCGTCTGAGTGTGTTCTGCTCCTTCTCTTCGTAGATTCAACAGATAGGGGGCCATAATCGAGTTTAATTCAAACTGTTCTTAGAATAGGGCCATCTGCTTCGGATGAACAAAAATACTGCTGACGCAGATCTGCAGAACAAGACAGGCGTTGGGTAGTAGCGTAACACTACTACTTGGACTTTCATGGCAAATCAGTAAATAGAACCGTAACCTTGAGAATTAATGCATCTCAATAGTGAAAGGCATAGGCATTGTCCTTGGACCACACACAAGCTTTTAGAGAGGATCGCACATGAATTTACTTTCAAGAGTGCGACCTCTCGGTCCCTCTGGCTGTGTACCCGGATACGTTACAGCCAGAGAACCTCCGAGTCGAATGAGGAGATGATATTATTCGGGGTAAGCGCCTTACGCTGCTACGTTTCCGAATCATTGATATGCATCCACTAGACCCTCTGGGCATGAGCCCGCCAGACCTGCCACAATGTTTGTGGAGCATGATAAAAGCCTCAAACAATCGTGTCCAAATCTTCACTCTCGCAAAGGCTCACAGTATTCTGTCATGTTCACGCCATTTCCCTTGCTACTGGAATCCGCAAACA